GGTGCAGGAGAGTAACTTTGGGATTTTATCCTTTGCAGGCCATTTACATGCAAATAAAACTATATAACACACTAAAAGGAATACAAGTGACCCCTAGTGTTTATACAGTGTACTTGTCAGAATGTCCTAATGTGAAATCAGATCATTCAGTATTATTGACTCACTTTCTGCATATAATCACAGTGCTGTTATGACAGTGTTGTTTCCTGCAGGTAAAAACCAAAGAACTTTACTCGGTTAAATTATGTTTATTTAAAAAATATATAGAAACAGGACCACTGGTACAGCAACATGAGACAGTGTGGGTATTCACACATCATTGCAACCCTGTTCACCTTCAACTCAAACTGGAAAAAACAATACACAAATTAAATCACACATCACAGCAGCACTTTAACCCCAAAAACCATCACAACTGTATACACTGCATCAAACTGCGTTTCAATTAATTTTCTTGATTAAGACACCACAATACTTTGAACATTGTGTGGGTCACAGTATATTTTAAATCAGTGAAGAAAAATAATGAAATAAAAATTAAAGTGGTGGCTTCTAATAAATCTATGTACAGTACAATGGGTACTGAATTAGGAAGTTCTCATTGAACATACTGCAATGAAAATAAAGAAGATTCAGTCAATTCCTTATAGTCTAACGTTGAAAGCACATACTCAGCATGAACACACAAGTAGGACAAATTTGAATTACATTTTGGTGTCAGCAAATAACTCTACCAAGAAACGTTCCTGCCTTTTAACAACTCAAGTGTGGGTCTTTAGAGATGAGAATGTAATCAAAACATCGTGAAAGGCAATGGTTAATGGGTGAAATTTAAAAAAGAATGTTGATGTCAGTCACTTATGGTTGAAAAATAATGAAAAAATTATAATATTATTAAGCTATTCTTATTTTTGAAACTCTTATGAAGACTAATTACAAGTCCTTCATGTTTAAAAAAGAGTTACAGTGACTGCAATTAGTTTAGTCTTTTTTGCCTTGGCAAAGTAAATCAAAAGTGTAAAAAGAGAAGTTATCGATTTGACTTTTGTTTTTCTTGTAACTGAGCAGTGGAGCTCTTAACAAACCGAAAAAGGAAAAGAGAAAGGCCTTCCCAGGATCAAATCACCTGAACAATACCTGTCACAACAGGAGTGAACAAAGAGGAGACATATATACACGCAACTTCGAACAATAAGGCCAGAAAAGTTATGATGGGACGATCACATCAAAATAATGCAATACATCCTCCTACTATTCTAAAGAGTATCCTTTGTTTGTTATAACTTTATAACGGTTTGACTCCTGCTTTTTGCCGATATGGCGGTTTGACTTTTAAATGATGGCACATGCTCCATTCCTCGCCCTTTCTTACACTGTTCACTGTCTATAAAACTGACAGCGGTTGCAAATGTTGTCAATACAGTGTGACAGTGTGTTGGTGATGTAACCCGGTTTTTGTCTGATAAAGTATTGTGGATGCATTGGGAAAATGAATGTCATTCAATGCTCCCCAAGTCAAACGGTCGTGGATTCCTTCAGCAGCTCCATTCAGTAGACGTCCCATGCTTCCGACAAACTTCAGAAATTCTCCGCTCTATGAAGACCCTTCTTCCAGCTGCTCGTCCTGAAAGGGGTAGCTGAGTGCGGGGGGAAAGCCCTGATTCCGAGGCTGCTCGTCCAACAACACCAAATCCTCCACATCTTTCCCATTGTACCTCCGTCTGCAGATCTTTACTGTCACCTTGCGCCCCTGAAAGACTTTTAGGGCCTCTTTGGAAGCCATGGCCTTGGCGGCGGCCTCGTCGCGCCCGTATCCTGTCCCCATGTAAACAGTCTGACAGCGAATCTCACACACATGGCCTTCCTTCTGTGTGCGCCCTGCAGGGAGGCCAGTGATGTCCTTCAGTGGCACGTACACACAGGCCATGGTCTCTTTACATGACTCCACACAGCTACGAAGTATTTCAAAATGGTCCAAGTTTGGACCGAAGCCCCCCGCGGACACCAGCTTCCACGCCACTGCCTTGTAGAGGCGGTTAAAGAAGGGCTGGTGCTCTGCTGGAGCCTGTGGAAGAGGGCCTGATTTCCTGGAGGATTTCGCTCTCTTCCCACCGCTGTCAGACTCACCCTCTGCAAAGGTGGACACAACAGGCAGGACATTGATGAGTGCACAAAGAAAGCAAATTTAATGAGGAAAAACTATCCTGTCTTAGGTTTCTCAGGTGTGAAACAAACAAACCTGCATGTAGGTTATTACACTGAAACAGAAATCAACACTATGTTGGTCCATAAAAAGACAGAGAAACTTTTTGGGGATGCACACATTTCTTCCCACTATCTAACTTATCCATAACTTCCAAGTAGCCACCTCAATTAAAAAGACTATTCAAGGTAACGGGATTTTAATAAATCCTCTTAACTAATGCATGAATGGGAACAAAATATAAAAATAACAGAAATTCAACAAAGTGATGTTCAACTACGACAAAATGTATCGATGTTATTACTTTGTATTATATTTTGTCATTTATTGTATGCATTTTTGTACATGCATCCATCAAACTATATATCATGAGGCGTAGACTATACAATTGTATGAATATTTTAGGCCAAATAAAAAAACACCAATGTCAAAATGTTGTGGATTTATGCTTCAAATTGGTGTTTGTTGATCCTTTTTGATCGTTGTTGAGACTCCTTGTGGTGGTGCTAGATTCTATGGGCTCAGAACAGTCTCATAATACAGCTTCAGGTGATCATGCAGAGCTGCTTGTCTCCGTCAGACTCAGCAGCTGATCTGATCTCTCCCTCGCATCCGGTTATACTACACTCGCGTTTATATCCATATCGATCAGATCCAGCTCTCCTGATCGGGCCTTTATAGAGAGCACCGATCAAACTATTAAGAGTGAATATCGGCCGATAATGACCGGCGGGATTCCCACCGTTAACAGTTCATAGCACTGGCTTCAGTGCACTGATTGATTAGGCTAAACTAACCTCCACACTCACAACAACTTCATACAGACATAAATAAAGCAGCTGTATTCGCCATACAGGAAGCACACATTTAAAACGGTTTTGCCTGCCGTTTTTGTGTACACAAGCATTCATTAATGGTTCGGAAAATGGCACTGTACCTTAATATTATAAAAGATTGTATTTGCGTGCATTTCCTGTTCGGAAAGTGGCGCTGTACTGAGAGCGGAGGTGTCCTGAGATTAGCGCCTGCAGGCAGGCTCCATGGACCCGTCAGCTCCGGACAGCGCAAAATGCGTACATGAAGCGCTACGTCATGAACGCAAGAAATCTACCCTCGTGGGGGCACGCTCATGTGATTGGCTTAGAATTGAGGAGACATCTGATTGGCTATAGATAGAAAAAATTACAAGTACGAATCGGCTGACTGTCAGGGGAGTCTCAAAAAACCCACACACGAATGCACAGCGATCCATGCACAAAAAGCGCTTTGTGTTTGCAGGTTTAGGGGATTTAAACGGACAACAAATATGTGAGGATCAAAAATACATATGTAAAACGTTTTTCTGTATTTGGATTTTATTTACATGTATATGAAACGGAACACATTTGTGTGTGCATTAACAAACACAAGTGTGGATCCGGTAATACAAGTGTGAATCCTTATGCGGATCATGAAATACAAGTGTGAATCCTTCTGTGTGCATATGTGTATTATGAGACTGTTCTGAGCCCATATAAACCCCTATCACCAGTAAGTGTATTAACATGAAATATGCAGAATGTCACCTTCTGAATGGTTTATCATTGTATTATGTGCCTATATCTTTATAATTCTTTATGTATTACTTTTTGAGCAACCTTTTTGTATGTAGCTGGTCTTACAGAGGAGGCTACTAATTATATTATTATCATATTTAATTTGTTGATCATGTATTTTGAAGGTCAACCCTGTTTTGCAAAGTAACTATTTATGATGATCTAAATGTATTTATGATGTTGGTGTAAAAATAAAAGAGTATAAGAACACGTACCTTCAAAATGTACCTATTTAGCAGCATAATCAGTACTACTGTCTGTTATCATTATCATCCTAAACTTCATCATCTCCCACTCAGTTATAATTACTATATACATGTAGATGCATGAAGTTCAACCATTCGCAAAAATCACAGCTGTTTGGGTAAATATCATGTTTATTATTCAAGATCTTAAGTCAAAGTACATTGCTTTCCAAAGTAATCCACAGTTAACAAGGCTTCTTTTGTTATTGCTGCTCATTCATAACTAAAATCACACTGTTCGCAAAAAAGGCAAAAATAAAGGCTTCTTGTTAGATGCCACTGCAAGGGTAGTGGGATTGCATAGTGTGTGATATTTATTATAAAAGATTGCATTTTAAAACAGCCAGAATTGTGTCATTACAGTCCAGAGGTAACTGAGCAAGCCGTTCCAGATGATCCTGGAATCAAAATGTACAACAGATGTGTTAAATGTGCAACTCCAAATAGTAGGACAGTTTAATAGAAATGGTAACATTTCCATTGATGTGATTAGCATGACATTTGGACATCTCTAAAGTATTTTTCCGTTCCGTCTGAAGTAACAGATGTAAAGTGATGCTGATACCATTATAACAATTAAAAACAAAATGGATGAAAGGAAGTTTGGACAGTATATTATTCCCTGAAAAAGACTGTGTGTGTGTTTGAGTGTATGTGTGTGACGTCTCACTGTCCGCTGTACATTGAGAGCATCTGACTGAGAATTCCCACTTTCTTTTACTAATTCCCATGTTCATTGCTGTACTGACCAGAGTAACACTGGGATACTGGTGGACAACTTGTGAAAGGAAGTGTCGTATATGCAGGCTGAAGCAAAGTCAAACATATGTCATTGGTTAGCCTTTGTGTAGCATGTATCGCTAGCTGACTGGCAAACCCTCGTTTGTCCTCTTCTCTCGAATGGATCTCAGCATGTCTGACACCAGCTCCTCAAGCGCATAAGTTGGCGCCCATCCCCAATCTCTCCTGGCATTGGTGTCGTCAAACCTGACTGGCCAGCTGTCTGCTGCAGAGCGACAAGCAAAATGACCCAATTACTATTAGCATATTACAAAGGTAGCAGTATGAGACACATATCCTTTGAAGATAAAACTTAAAAGAGCAGTTTGTTTGATTTAAGCAAAAAACTAATTTCCTGCTAAGTGATCTGGCACATCATATACAGCTTGTTGAGTGCCACCCCTCCACACATAAGCACACCTTATGGTACACATCTGCAGAATTGGTTTGTTCCACACTCCCTGGTCCTTTTCTCTGTAATTAGACCTGCATTGGATTCTGGTAGCAGGTTACTATAGATACAATGCGGTACAACATGGCGCAATCCTTTGAAGAGGACCCTCTCCCTTCATACTTCATCTTAACGGCTCATTCTACCCTAACAAAAACACAACTATTCCTAACTTCTGGTGATTATAAAACAGTTAAAATATTACATTCCATTTATGCCAATAAAAGCCTCTAAATCCTTCTCACCGCTGCTTTGGACCATGGGACCTAAACACTTTTAAAATGTAGGTTTTTTCATTTAATTAAATGCCACATCCTTTAATGTCTTTTGCCATCATATGAAAGATCAGTCCCTTTGCAGTTTTTAGAATTAAAGTAAAGAATTGTTTCATCTGCATTTCTATATTCAGCCACCACAGCTGGATTTTTAAAACTATTTATATTTTGACAGAGCTTTTATGTGTAGGTATGTGTACCACGTCCTACCGATGTTCTGACGGACAGAGTCAGGATTGTAGGTGACTTTGAGGTGAGGGAGATGCTTGCGGATCTCCTGGGCCAGTTCCTCTGGAGTGAAGCTCATGGCGGCGATGTTGTAGGTACGCAGAGACAGCTGGCAATCTGGTGCCTGCATGAACTCTATTGTGGCACGGTGGCAGTCAGAGATATGCATCATGGGAAGGCGGGTGTCGGGACGCAAGTAGCACTCATGGTGCCCTGTGCTGAGAGCATCGTGGAAGATTTGAACGGCATAGTCTGTAAATAAAAGAGCCCAGAGCTTAGTCCACAACATCAAACTGATTGTAGGCTACTGGATATCTGTAGCAGATAGAAAGTGATGCAATACCTGTAGTTCCTCCCCCGGGGGGGCCGTTGACTGATATCACACCTGGGTAACGTAGGCAGCGGAAGTCCAAACCATATTTATGATGGAGATACTACAGAAAAACACAAATATTATTTAAGTTCAACAAATCTTTCCTGTTACCTGTAGTGCTTTTTATCAAGCTAGATGTCAGCGATAAATGGCACTTCATAATAAAAAATATGTGTTTTGGGACGAACAGTTTATCCATGATTGCCACACCTCCCCCATCAGTTCTCCATGCACTTTGGACACGCCATAGATGGTTCGAGGTCTTTGGACACAGAGGTCAGGGGCAGGGTCACGTGGAGAAGAGGGGCCAAACGCTCCGATTGTGCTGGGGACAAAGATGCGCAGGCAGTTCTCTAGGGCCAGGTCCAGCACGTTATGAAGGCCTACATGGACAGCAGAAAGCAGGGTTTAATTATAAAGAATCAATAACAAACTGTACTTTTAAATAGTGTATGCTTTCAGCTCCCCTGTGATGTTGATCTTGCGTGCCAAAGCCATATTGGCCTCCCCTACAGCACTAAGCAGAGCGCTATAGTGGACCATCCAAGTGATACGATTATTCACAACCAGTTCTCTGAGATGTTTGTAGTCCAAGACATCAGCGTATACAAACGGACCTAATAGGAAAAGAGCAGGTAAATAGATCAATTAAAGAGAATAGCTAATGATTCAGCAACATGGACATTCTGTGAGGAAGACACAACAAAGAAGGTGAACATATTTAGAATTTGGTTTTGCATACCACTCTTCAAAACATGAGGTTGAGGCTTCTTAATGTCAGACAGGATCACATTGTCCTTTCCGTAATGTTTCCTAGACATAATAAAGATATGATAACATTCAAATTTCAAACATTTTGAAAAGCTTTCATATATGCGAAGTCCACGTATCTCACCTCAGTATCTGTGCCAGTCCCGTACCTAACTGCCCAAGACCACCTGCGCACAGAAACCACGTTTTTTATATTTTATATTCCGAGGAAACACATACATATTTGGTGGTTACATGTTTGGTATGAAAATGCAACTAATGTTTTTTGTGAGCACCACATTTCAGCTTTTTTGTTGTTAGTATCAAAGCTTTATCCTGGGACAAAAAGTGACAGCCAGCTATTATTCACCTCACTCATTGGCTCTTTTATGTCACCAGTGCTGTCTGTACACATCCTATTGTGAAGAATTCAAATGAGGTCCTGCTGCCGGTGCACCGTAAAAAAACAACTCCAACAAATAAAAATGACAGCATGTGTCCAGTACTGCCTCGTGACATTGATGCCAGAGTGTGAGCCTTTCCTCTTTTAGTCAAAACATTGGATATGTTGGATAGTTACTCTCTTATCACCATTTAAAGGTGCTGTTGGCCACTCAACAGGGGCTGCACAGTGAAAGTGGTAGAAAACAATGGCAGCTTCAGTGTTTGTGTAGATGTGACAAAGACTGTCATCAGCTATAATGTTGCAGAAAATAAAGTGATATTACCTGTGATAAGGATACGGGGGTTATTCTGTGAAGGTAGGGGGCTACTGGAGTCCCGGCTGTTCCACCTGCTCATCTGCCGGTGCAAACCGCTGAGGCTGAGACCGGGCAAACTCCGTGTCCTGCTGAGACAATCTCGGCAAAACGGGCCCAGCGCAGCCGCAGTGGGCACAAAGACCCCCGGGTGCATGTCCGGCAGCAGTCCTTAGAAAAAGTGAAATTGTGATGATACAGAATATCTATAAATTAGGTATGACTATTAAGGCAAATACAGCTTGTGTTAAAATAACATTTAAACACAAATTCAACTGAATAGTACACAGAAGAGTGTTTTACCTGACAAAAAATCCGAGGCAGATGATTCTTGTTGTGAAACCAGCTGATGCAACTGCGTCAAACTATAACTGTTTTATGAAGCTGACACTACAGTTTTCCAGATTTTTAAGTGACAGAATTAAAATATTATAATCCGATAGGTCACCGTTCCAGTTCACCTAACCTGGATAAATAAGCAGGTGTAGAAAGACAACAGGGCTCGTGGCTCTTTACTGAACTGGACTACAGTCTCCAGCTTCCAAAGCTGCGTGTGTGCAAACATGCTGACTTGCAGTGCACAGGGATTTCTATTGTGAACAGTGTTTAGCTGAGCTTAACAGGACTGGGAGGTGTGTTTGTTATGCAGTCTTATTCTATTCAAAATAGCTAATTGTAAATAAATGTTAGAAAATCATAAAATAAAATGCAAAACATAAAACATTTGAGCAGAATTTAAAACACCAAAGTGCATTGTTAATATATAGTGGGCCAGAACAAACATACACGTAACATTTTATTATACATTTTTTATGAAAAAAATAAAAATACTGGACATTTTAACATGGTAAGTTGTCAAAAATAACAAGTCGAAAGGCATTGCACATTGGTAACATGTTCTACATGTTCTGAACATCTTCACTTCTTCATGTGCTGGCAGGACAACTGCTGAGAGCCAGCTTCCCCCACTCAATGACCATGTTCCTGATTTCCTCCTGAGCCTCTTCTAGGTGATGAGTCTGTGGGGTCCACCTCAGAAAAAAGCCTTAGGAAGAGAAATAGACATAGCATTGATAAAATCCTAGAGTTGAAAAGTAGCAAAGTTTTAGGGTTACGACTCTAAATTATAAAAGCACTGTAGGGGATATCATATTGAATGAGTATCGCTGCTGAAACAAACCACAGGTAAAACAATTAAGATAATGTTTGAATTATTTTAGGAACGGACATTATTCCGCAGTTTAATTGGTGGATGAAAATATGAATTTGGTGAAATTTAGAGTATTCTGCAAAATACATTTATTGGCCTGCATTTCTATAATGCAAAGCTCTATTGCTTTAACTGTAATCGACTTAAAGATCGCAGCCTCTACATAAACAGTATTGTTTAGTGGCGGCATGCACTTGGCAATACAACATTTTAGAAAAAAATTGAAATACATTAAAAAAGTCAGAACAGTTCTTTGTTTTTGCTGTGTTAGCAATAGTGACGTCACTTAATTGTGGTTAGATCAGAGCCATGGAATATTAAATCATGCATCTTTACTCACTGAGGTTCTGAGGTTATGAACGTGTTTTTAAAATACCTCTTATAGGTATCGGCTTTAAAATGTAACCATCCCTGGAATACACCAAGGCTCACCTCTCCAAAGCTGCAGGGACTGAGGGTGGACTGAGGGCCAGATTGCCAGCTCGGTGTGCTCATACAGCGGGTTAGAGTAGCAGTCTCTCTCCCTGGGCCTCAGCAGAGCCTGGAACAAACAGTAAGTGTTCTCCTTCACTCCCAGAGCACACCTGAAAGGGAGGAGCACATTTCAATGGATGTAAATGAAAGTTAAAAAGTTGAATTTTATGCGTCCATCAATTCCCTAATGCCCCGTTGCACTGACCTCTCCTGCTGGTTGTTACCCAGGAAGGTGCCGTAGTCCGATGCGTAGGCCTCGGTGGCCAGCCGGAGGAGCAGCGCCTCAGAGAAGCCCAGCGCCAGGGGGAACTGCCGCCACAGCTGCCACACGCAGTCCAGCAGCAGCAGGAACACCGGGGACTCCTGCTGCAAGCGGGCGTGGGAGTGGGCCGAGTGGGCACAACGCTGCTGGAATGGGTGACCTGCCTTCAGAGAAGAACAGCAATATCCATATTCATACATATAGTACAGTATTGACATGGAGTGGCAATCCAACTTATTGAGGAGAGAGACACTTCAAGTGAATAGGGTAAAAACATTAACTTATAGATATCAGCATTAAACCAGTTGATAACTTAAGTTAGTCAGTTTTGTACTTCACATTTTAAATGTAACAAATTATGCATTATCTTCTTTTCTATGTGCTAATTTGTCAATATTTCTGGACCAGAAATCTGCATATTGGATAAAGCCAGGTTCATTATTCTGGTATCACTCAATCTATTGTGGTCAGGTTTATAGGAATAAAATGTAATAAAGAAATTAGGCTATGCAAGATAAATCAACAAAACCTCCACAATATAGATGGGAATTCAACTGGGAAGTTTGTTGTATGTACATGCTACTAAAGTGGAGATTTCTGAGTATGTGAAATATATTTTGTAATGGGAATTAAATGGGGTAAATGTTAACTAATTGAAATTAAAAAAACAAGTTTAAATATGCAAATTAGTCATTATCTAAAGCTAACTCTCTGTTAGTCTTGGAGAAATCTACAGGCACACTGTGAAGGCTTACAACCACTGTTTAGTTTAACAGTAGTTAAGTATGATGTTGAAACATTCCGAAAAAATAGTTTCCCTTAAATGTTGATAAATGTTTCACTGGAGGTGGAATTGTTAGAGAAAAGTCACCACGGTCAAAAGGTGAAGAGAAGCAAGTTTTGTTTCTGCCAACAGCAGCACACTAAATGGGATTTTTCTGTTTTGTTAAGTCATTTCCTGTTAAGGGTAGAATGTGGAGCAATTTCCTTTTTAGCAAGAGATTTTGGTCATAACCACATGTAAGATTGTGAACAGCTCTGCAGACAAACTACAAGTGTGAGTAGTAACAAAATCCAATATGCTCTTATTTTGGGTGTGACAAGAAAATGTATTTCAGACTCAAAAACTTGAACGGTACAGAAACAGTTGAAAATACTAACTTATTTAATATGAAGTGCGCCTGTTCTAAGGATACTATTTCCATATGCCTTTTTTTTGCCACCCTTTGCTTATGAGAATCAGTGTTTTCCAAGTATTTTCTTCAAACACACACTCTCACCTGTACCCACTCCCTCTCCAGCAGAGTCAGGAAGCCCTCCAGTGTGCGGCAGCTCGGGTCCATGATGAGCTGAGCCAGAGTGCTGATGAGCAAAGTGGAGTCTGTCCCCTCAGAGCCGTGCACCAGAACTGAATGACCGTCCCTGGACAAAACCAATCCACAAACAGTCATTTACCTCTACATAGGATATAAGTGAGTTGAAGAAAAAACACACATACATGCATTTATTTATTAGCAGTTACAGTAACCCCCGTATGATGAGGATTATTATTATTATAATGTCCTAGAGGTGTCTTTGTTGTCGCTTGCCTTACTTGTTATGCTATACCCTCATTCTTACATGCATGTGCAGCCTTTGCCTGTGTTATTTTACTGTCTTTTAGTATCATATTAAAGGGGTCGAAGCAGCAAAGCATTGCAGCATTCCACCCACTACTCAGGTACATAATCAACCTAATCGACCTCAAGGTGGTGCTGTAACAATCAAGTGTTTGCCATTATCTCAAAAAGGGCTTGGATTAGAGTCAGATTCCTTCATCATTTAATGTCTTAATTCATCTGCATTTCTACAGCAATCTGAACTTAAAATGACACATTTTTGAACTTTTCTCTATCTTCTGAAAATCCCATCTTCTACAACTCGTCAGAAATTAATTGTCCCAAAACGGATTTGGCTGATCTAGGTTTATCAAAGAGATTTGGTCTGACTGTCCCTATAAACACTAATATGATTTAAGACAAGGGAACACCTTCTGTATTCGTTCTACAGACATACTCCCGGGTGTAGTTCTTACCTCTCCACACACTCCGCCAGCAGGCCAGCTGTTGACAGAGCAGTTTGGACGTGAGACAGCCACTTTGAATTTTCAAGCTTACTGAGCCAACGGTCCATATTATTGGACTCGTCTCCGCAGGCCTCCACCAGTTTAATCAGACTCTCCTGCAGCGCTTTACCCCTGCATATGAAGACAACGAGGTGAAGGAGGTACGTTTGAAGGGACATATAAGTGTACATATGTTATATAGAGTTATTGCATTAGGCAGTAATGTTTTCCTCTACCGGTCCGCTGTCACAAGGACCGATACAGGAAAACATTCCTGCCCACTGCAATAACTCTATATAACAAATCACCTCTGGCTGGCAGAGAACTCTCTGCTCCATAGCTTCTCTTGGACAACTGGACTTAAAATCACACTGTAAATCTTACATTTATATTCTAATATTTAATATTCCATTCCTCACATACTTATTTATATATAATATCCTGCTTTATATTTTGTTACTGTACATTTGTAATTCAACATGTATATTTTCTACTTTTTTTTAATGATATTTTATTTCTATTGAGATGTTCACATTTTGGAATGTTTATTTCTAGTCTTTACATTTATATTGGACAATGCCATGTCTTTGTATGCTGCTGCAACGCAAATATTTCACAAATTGGACCAATAAAGTACTTCTTATCTTATCTTAAAAAACCAATTCACACTCACACACCTCTCCATCTGTCTCTGCAGTCTCTTCCAGCTGCTATAACACGATTTGGACTCCAATCCTCCACCTGTCATCCGGGCCTGCAACGCCTGCTGGCTGGAGCGCGTGTCGATAATGTAACCTTTATCTGAGCCATCAATCACAGCCTGGAGGAGCTGCTCATCTTCCCTGCAGCGCTTCCTATTGGCTCCTGTCAGAGGCTGACTGCTTCGCATGATTACCTAAAAGGTTGGATAACGTTTTTTTTGTTTCATATATAAATTGTATACTAGCAGTGGAAACACGTGAAAGACCCTCACCATGCCGTTCTTCTTGTGGTAGTAGCAGAGCACAGGGAAGCGTCCTCCCTGTCTGAATTTGGCCACCTTCTCCAGCATGTCATCGTCTGTGCTCTTGGGGACGATAACAGCTTGAGGGTAAGAGGGACACACTGAGAAGTCTCTGTTCACGGTGCTCAGTCTCCACCGATCATGCTGCAAACAGAGGAGAGAGAAACTATATTTGAACTTTATTACACGTAACATGCACATCTATAACAGCTTTTATGTAAAAGGTTATGAGAGTTACAGGAAACTGCTCTAACATGAGCGGGTTCCCCTTTGTCTGCATAAAGCACTTGCTCACTCATGGATTGTTCAGTCTGAAAAGTCTAGAGAGCAAATACATTTTGTGTGTCACTTGATCTTCATTTGTCCATTTATGAAAATCTAGAAGAGGCCAAGACTAACATCAAAACGAAATGTTTTACCGAAATTGAGAAGCACAGGAAGAACAACAACACTTGGTATAACTCTACAATCAAAATAAACTTAGCATGAAGACTGGAAACTACGTAAAACAGCTAGCCAGGCTCTTTCAAAAAGGGAAAATCTGCCTGCCAGCTAAAGAAAGTGACAACTAAAGGTAATTGTCTAATGGGACGTTGCATTTGTTAATCCTTTTCAAAACTCTACAAAGTGTTGCTCCAGGCCTACAGCTAGCTTGTCACTTTTCATAAAACTGAAATGTTTGTAACACTTTGCTTTTTGTTCTGATCAAAATAGTTTTTCATTAAATATATTTAAATATAATATAATATCATTCAAATATAAAGTGTAAAGGAACTTTTAAGTGGATGGTAGGCAGATTTAAGCTAGTTGTTTCGCCCTGTTTCTAGTCTTTATGCTATAAGCTAAGCTTACCGTCTTCTGGTCACACCTTTATATTTAACATATATTACATTAGAGTGGTAGAAATGTTCTTATTTTACTCTCTGCAAGAAAGTGATAAGCGTAAAATTCGCAAAATGTTGAACTATTGCTTTCAATGACTTAAACAAATATTTTATTCCCCATATATGGGCAGGAATCTGCTGGGCAGTTGGCAGTTGGGTGTAACCATTCAAGTTCCAACCAGAAACACAGTCACCAGGCTAGCCTGATAAAAACTTAAGATATCCTGCATATTTTGGGAACATTGTGCCACTAAAACAAACGCAACAATGCTGTCCTGAGGGTCCAACCCTCACCATGGCAACATGATATTCCCAGAGGAAGACATCCGTCTATTGAATCACACATTTAAGCTGTGAGCAGCATATTCTAAAGTTAAGGGAAAACAAATGAAAGCTAAGCATCGGGGATATCCTGAATCTTGACCTCTGCATGCAGATTCCCTGGAATTATCCTGTCATGTGGATTTTGGATCACTGTTGGGATGAGGTGCTTACAAGTTCTTTCATTTGACTGTAGTGCCTTTCAAGGGATGAGAGACCCCACTGGTCCCGCAGGCTGGCATTAGAGGGTCTGTAAAAGAAAGGATACAACTCCGACATCGAATCCAGACAGGACAGGGTCTGGAAAACGTGACCAAGGATTGTTGTTGTTAAGAAGGGTGTTATCAGATGTAAAGCACAAATGAGGGCTACACCGTAAATAGTGAGTAATGCTGTATTCAAAGCAAGGATGTAAGATCCTATCATAAACAGAAATGACTGATTTCCTAATTTATGTTTCGGGGCTTAGTATGATTATAAGACTATTTCTTATACCTCAATAGAGCGTGCAATGTTGAGACACTCCTCCATGCCCGGGATGTCAAGCTGGAGCACACGAAGATCTTTACACTTGATGGTAATCGTCCCTGAAGATCCAGGTAACCTAGACACACCGCTAACCAGATAACACACACACACCGCTATGATTATTTGCAACAAAAACAAATCAAAAAATTCCCCTGTGTGTCAACTCCCGCCTAAACACCACATGTTTTGACTTCACCAGACTTGCAGCAAGAAAAGAAAGGTGAACCATGTCAGTATATAAAGTGTTTATATGGCCAATGAGTGAGCAACCCCTACTCACCAAAATATATTGTGTGTGTGTGTGTGTGTGTGTGTGTGTGTGTGTGTGTGTGTGTGTGTGTGTGTGTGTGTGTGTGTGTAAGGCGATGACAAAATAGAGTTGCTGTAATGCTGTTAGCAATGTGTCCTCTTTAAGCACTGTGGGCAAATAAGAGCAGCAGACACATGGAAACACACATTATGTCCAACCTTTGACTGAGACCTGCGTTAGAGAAGAGGCCGGAGCAGGTCAAAAGGTTTTCCACACTGGTTAAAAAAGATTTGAAGAATAATTGAATTAGACATTAATTAAACATTCTCGGAAAGTGTTGGTTATGATTAGTTTAGTTGGTTAGTGTTGATTACAGTATATTCTTGAACAAGTTAGTTAGTTAGTTAGAATGATCCATACAACCTTATTATTAAGAGGAACACAACATAAATCCATCTTTTGATTTCCTTAAGTTTGTACCTGATCACAGGGCTGCTCAATTAATCGTATTTTAATCGCAATTACGATTTTGGCTTGCAACGATTATGAAAACAACATAATCGAAATAAAACGATTTATTTTCTTTTCTTTTTAATACATTTTTTTTGTATTGGTTTTTCAGTTGAATTATATTTAAAGTTAATGGTAATCAACTGTTAAAAACATACCGTTCACATTTTTCTTTCAATATGTTTTCAAAGTAAATGGATAATCGTTTTTAATAATCGGGATATAAATTATTGACCCAAATAATCGAGATTATGATTTTTGCGATAATCGAGCAACCCTACCTGATCATTAGGCAATGAAATGGAGACTGATTTTGTGGACTGATTAGTTAAAACCCATGTAAATGTTATATATTATATAACTTAAGCATGCTAGCAGCACTATAGCTACATGATTTACAATACGAAAAAGTACATCAGCTGTGAGGTATAGAAACAATGTCTTATGATTATTAACCTTTCTCTACCTTGAACTTACAAATTCACTTATGTCAGTTATTTTTAATAACGTAGATAGGTGAATGCTGTCAATTCTGAAACAGAGAATCGAACCAAATAGAACAGTACCCTGGTTGATCTCAGTGTCTCCAAATGATTGCCAATGGAGCAGTTTTACATTGTAAACTTGATGACATCACATTTAGACTGGTTTCTAAATGTGACAAATGGATGTTTCAACCCTCTAGTTTTTTTTATGTGGAAATTGTTCATTTTCTAACCGTCTTAAATCACAGTAATAAATCGTATGAATTCTGTAAATGGGCGTATTCCCATTTAAGTGCTGTAATTGGTATTTTCAAGCACATCTATTAGCCTACATCGTAAAGGCTGTTAATTAAAATCTGTTGTTTTTGGCACTTTTGGAAAACAAATGGAAGCAATTATATACTACTTTAATAATTCCATGCTGCTATGGTCAACATAACATGCCCCCTCACCTCTTCTCAATAGCATCGATGTTCCGGAGCAGCAGCAGAACCTGCCGCCAGCTCCCCTCCTCCCTGTCCGAAAACAGCAGGTGGTGGCCGGTGATGCACAGGGTGCCTCTGCCCGGTGGATGGAGCGGCTGCCGGAGCACAACATCCTCCACGTTGGCGGTCTTGATGTGTTCAGAAAACTCCATCACAATGCAAACTTCTCCGCTGCTGCTGAACTTCTGAATGCACAAGTAAATCACTTCCTCGCCTCACTGTGAGAAAATGAAAGCTCCCTCCTCTCTGCACTCAGGGGGCTGGGTAACACAGCAGTTGCTTTCTGTTTGTTCGACGATAAGGGGCCTATTAATAGATGGGGGGGGGGGGGGGGGGGGTTCTGAACATAGCCAGGCCTTAATGTTGCTACACCTATTCTTACACAGGTGGCTGCTGAGCACGAGACGGTGTCGCTCGAGGCCACAGAAGACGGAAGTGCACGTTTCCTGAGAAACACCAGCACGAAGATGTGACTGTATGTGACACATCTTGCTGTAAAAGCTCTACACAGTGAAAGAGAGAGAAATCGTCAAGGCCACGCATTATACACACAGTATTACAATGTGCTGATTTTGACTTGACTTCAAACGTTTTTTTGTTGTAATCCTTTTATAGAAACGTCTAACTTATGTTTATAAAATATTTGTTTAAAAATGTTTTCAGAATTCATTTAATTTAATTTCAAACCTTTATTTATAGCTGCAGGTGAATCCCATTGAGATCATTGATCTCTTTTTCAAGGGTGACCTGCTGCAAGTAGGTTCCACAGGAATACTAAACATAACAGAAAAACAAAAAGGACATCATAGGCCTACATTATATTTACAGCGACTACAGTTTACATAGCTAGTAACATTTACAGATTCCAACAGTTTCCGATTGGATAGCATCTATCCTTGCTTTATATCTTTTTTTATTTTATTCATCTTAAATTGAGCTTTTAACACAACGCCCAATTTCACGCGGGAAAAATAAGATATACTGATTCAGATATGCATGTTATGTCACACATGGTCAGTAGGTGGCAGCACACTCATACTCAGAAAGTTGTTAGAGCAGTTAAAGCTTACATCACAACAGGATGAAGAAGGGTTTCAGTTTTTATTTAGCTTAATTTTTTTATATCACAAAAAAAACACCTATATATCCAAGTATTATTAATTTCCGTATCATTTATATTCATTTTTTATTTTACTTAATTTATCTTACTTGCTATTCTATTAGGAATTGGTGTACAGTACTTATAATTTATTTCTCTTCTGTTTGTATGTTGCTATAATTTTAAGCAATTGATCTCTGGCTCGAGGAAGTACAGCATCTTAAGTATTAAAAGTAGAGAGCTCATATGCAGAATATCCTACTTGGAAGGTATTAAACATATTGGCTGTTTTAGTGTGAGTGGAGCTACATTAAACTCATTTGCACTCTTTTGGTCGTTTTTTTTCTCATCATATTTTGTAAAGTTGAACAGTTTTATCTGCAAAAATACCAGAGCACCTAGATTGATGTTGAAAAAAACCTAATATTTAATATATCTAAGTATATTATTTCCCTTTGAAATGCAGCAATACAGTGCTGAATGTTACCAAGTACATTTAAAACAGGCCTGTACAATACAAGACGTTTAAATATGTAGTTGTCTGTGAAGCATGGTGCAGGACACATAAACAAGTCAATAACAGAGATGTGATATTATGACGTAGCTTTGCATCCATCAGCTTAAACATTAAATATTAATAATAAAATAGTAGATAGAATATAGGGTAAACAATCTACAGCACCCATAGTGGTCATATGACTGTATTATATAGGGCATCTTTAACTTTATTTTCAGAACAGTGTGCTGATTCTGTATTTCTATTTTATTTGTTTAGTGTATGTCTTTAACTTGTATTGAAGTACACTTTATTGTTGCTGTGTTACTTCACTTTACTGAACAGATGCAGTGATAACAGGATTGGATAACGCTTCACTCTAAATTCGTCTAATTTGTTTTAAATTATGAATGCACAGCTATAAATAGCGACACTAAGGTCTTGATGAAGTTTAAGGAGACCAGTGCTCCTTACAATAATGATCCAGCCTCCCTCTCCTGCGGGATGGGCGGTCACTGCCTCTTATGTCCCTATAAAGGAGGTAAAGACCTGTTGCGCTTTAATCGCCAAGCTGCTTACCCAGAGTGCAAACTGCAAGTGGATTCCTAAAGCCTGCATTCATCACTGAGCCGATGGATTTTAAAGAGTATGGAGCTGAGTCCTCGGAGGGAGACTCGGAGGACCTGGACAGCGTGAAAGCCCTCACACAGAAGCTGAAGCTGCAGACCCGCAGACCGTCCTATCTGGAGTGGCAGGAGCGGGTACAGAGCGGACCCTGGAAGGAGGGTCTCCCTGCAGCAGAACCGGGCTCTGGAGGAACAGAGGTCTCCGTGCCGACGATCCTGAGGAATGAGAACTCAGAGCTGGTTGTACGCAACATCTGTGGCTTTGACACCATTGATGATGCTTTGGAGTTTCTGCGGAAAGAGCTAGTGAGTGACTATTTTCCCCAAATTCCGTTTTGCTGAAACTGAATTAGCTTGGCAAAGTTAGAAAGATATTGGGGTATTCTAATTTGACTGATCAACTTAAACAACACGTTGTTAAACACAAACGATGTGTCCTAACAACCACAGTCAAATGGACAACTATTGGGATTGTAATTATTGTTATTGGCTAGCTGCTTCACTAACTAAAATAGTGTTTCTTTTAGTGCATACAATGTTGCAAAGAGTTGACAGCTTTGTAAAACCAAAATTAGTTCCAAAGTTACCTATCCATATGGAATACACAGATGTCTGTCTTTCTAATTCACCTCTAAACAACATACAGTAATCTCTTCAGGTGTCAGAAATCTGCTGCACGAATGCCTGACTTAACCCTTATGCCATTGGCTGTGTTAATGCCTATTGCATAGATTTTAGCAATCTGTGTAAGGTTTTCTTTTCTTTTTGAATATTGGAGGTTCAACCTCAGCTTATATATATAATATACATATATATATATATAATAATACAAAACATGCAATTTTTTTGGTTTACTGCAATAGAAATGCACCAACATCAATCAAACAGTGGCATTATACAAACAAAAAGGCATGTATTGGATTAAGCCTCTACAAGTGAATGACTGTTTGGTAGTTATGATCAGGACCATAATTGGTTTGAAAATGTAACTGAGTAAAAGAGGAAATAATATTTACATATATATTCACATGGAAGGATTTTATGCAGACATTTTCATCCTCTTGGTATATTAGAACTTGTATTATAGTGAGGCACAAGGGTTGAAATCAGTGCTAACATGACTGACTTCATGCAGTCGTCACTGCCTGAACAAACAGTTTGTGCAGCCATACGATGTGTGTTTTCTCACAGGCTCCAGCCCGTATGCTCTACATGCCAGTGATTTACACACCTTGATAAGAAGATAAATGAGAAGAGCTATCCAAATCACAGCTTCCACATTCCTATACCTTACTGATGATCACTTTGACCTCACCAGTCTGCCTCCCCCTCTCTGCCTCCTCACACAGAGGGAGATGCAGGTTCAGGACAACCACCTGGCCCGTCAGCTGATCCGTCTGCGTGTGGAGATCCACCGGCTGAAAGTGGAGCAGGTGTGTGGCCGCCATAAGGAGATGCTGGACGATGCCACGTACGAGCTGGAGGAGTGTGGCGAGGAGTCGGACCTGCTGTGTGACATCCCCATGAAGGCAGCCTTTTCCCTGTCCGGCCCCCTCAAACACCTGGGCCTCACCAAGATGAACATCAACTCCAGACGTTTCTCACTCTGTTAAAAACCCTCATTTGTGTTTCTGAGGATGTTCCCATGGCCTCCTCTGTGTTTGTGTTGGCTACATATTAGGCTTATTTCTTCCAATTGGTGGGTGGGAATGAACATGACTGTGCACCTTGGCTTGACATGCATGAGAAAGTCTCAGTGTGGATACCTGTAGGGCCACACCCACTTAATACAGACACACCTTCCTGTTGGATAGAGCTTCAGCTGCTCTACTGTTCACTGTTCTTTGCACATGTCATGTTAATCGGATATAACAAGAAGGCTTGTTAATGTGAAGGTAGATATGGAAGGGCACCATTTACCCAGGGGAGAGATGCTGAAAGATTGTCAGAAGAACAATCTTCCTTCAGAAAAGCAGCTTCATTGTCACAGTAGATTTCGAGAGGTCAGCTTACTTTACACCAGTGGTTCCCAAAATAGGGTTCGGTGCCAAGACAGGGGTACCATATTTTTTTTAGATATTGTGAGACAATTAACTGGATAGGAAAAAAAAAATAATTACTGATTTCACTGATTATATTCGTGTTTAACAAGCTTTGAGCAGATACACTGCTACACAAAGTGTAGTTTTGTAGCACTATAGGCTACACTCAATTCATGGCTATTAAATGTCCATAAACAGAGAAGAAAAGTAGAGGATGCAAACTGGCTATGGCCAATTCACTTAAAAATGGGGACAGATCATTAGGAATTCTATAAGTTCTTTAATTTGAGCTCGTTTCATGATGTATGGAGATAAAGAAAAAAATGTGCCAAGAGCATAACAGCTGATATGTCATGTAAGTTAAATATTTACGGAATTTATTCAGCCAAGGCATTTTAATATACTATCAACTCTTTTATCGCAAATGTAAAAAGAACCTCAAGAGTGCAAAACATTTGTTTTTCAGACAATTATAGTTTTATCAAAAAATGTGCGCTTCCATACAGTTTTTCCTATGTGATCATTTAAAATGTTTAATGCCCAAAAGGTTGGGAACGCTTTGGATTACTGTTAAATGTGGAGTGGACTGAAATAAGAAAAGTAAGAAGGAGGAACCTCTGGATTACAGAACCTAAATACTGTAATCCAGCAATTTATTCCAGCTGGTAAAGCCTTCATACAGCTACTGTCCTCACTACTATCCTCAAAGGAAGCTGGAGGTCACTCTCCAGCATTTCTACGCCTCTTCTTCACAAACCAAATATATATCCATAGCCTCACCACTGCAGCGACAGGACGCAGGAGGCTGTGCTTAAAGCATTTTGTTTTCCATTACTATATATGGCTGGTGACCAAGTGTATTCTGCGGCTCAAAGTTGAATGCCGATTATAGCTTAATATTATTAATGTTAGCTAGCAAGTAGGAAGATGTTTTTATTGAGTGATATTTGACATTGGTTCTTACTTTGTTGGGTGTAAAAAAAAAAAAGAAACTGCATTATTGTAAAAAATATGCTACTGTAATATAAATGTATGTATTTGACAAATGATTATAAAAAGAAGTGCCTTAAAATGTAACTGTTTTTCTTGCACAAACAGCAGAAAATTAATGAGACTGTACCATATATATTTGACTTGTAGATTGTATTGTATTAGCATTAAAACGTGAAATAATACGTGCTTAGACTTTGAGCTGTTTTGTGCATCTGCCTATACCATTTATCCATATTTCCCAGCCTAACTGCCAATACATCCTCCATGGGATCCATCCTTCATCCTAAAGCCATCCTGCACAAAAGTCTCTTGTTTCCTGCCACGAGACATTCATGACCTGCCGTAATTTCCAAACATAAGTGTGGGGCCCCGGAGGGATGAGCAGTGTTGGACTTAATTAGTCAAACAAGAAACCAAATATGCCTTGCCAGAGTGCGCACTGTCTGAAATGAGGACTGTTGACATGATT